GCAGGCAGGGGATGCGCTGCCCCCGTAAGTTGTAAGGGTATGTGGGATTCGACCCACACCAGAATCTCTGCTATTCAGAAACTGGTGCTGTATACACTATTATATTTAAAAAAATACAAAAAAATCATATTTGTAATAATGTAAGATGCATTGATTATAATTTAAAGTAAAATAAATCAGTGGCGCTACAACCCCTTTAGGTCTGGGCCACAGATTTTTGAGTCTGTTTCGCGATTTGTCAATCTAATAGGCAAGTAGGTGATTAGCATCCAGTGGCCAGTGCCCACGCAGTCGAATTTTTGGGTCTAAGACATGTCGGTTTCCTCACGATAGTTTCCTTAACTGTTCCAGCGAATTTTAAATGCGCATTAAGTGCACAGCCGAACGAAACAACGACCTCAGTGATGACAGTCGCACGCGGAAGCCACTAGGTCAATACTGATCATTATAATATATTTAATATATGTATACAAAAATAGTGATAAGTTTACTAGAATAGAACATACGCACAATGTTAATACTCGGAACAAACGCAGGCTGCAATTTCCCCGTACTAGACTATCTAAAGTTAGTAATTCTTTTTTGGGGAAAGGGATACTCTTCTTAAATAAAATCCCAGAGGCTCTTTTATCTCTGCCTTTCAATAAATTTAAGAAATGTATTAAAGAAAAGCTGTGTAAAAAGGCTTACTATAAAGTCAACGATTATCTAGTTGATAAAAGGGCCTGGGACTAGTGCTAGCCTGTCTAGCTTTGTTTTAAAATAAGTGTTGTTTGATGATTTGCTGTTTTAAAAGAGTACCGAGAGTTTTTTACGCCGGCTTTTTCTCTCGGCCTACACCCTCTGTCTTCTTTGCCGATGAGTAGGGATGCCTTCAAATTTAATGACGTGGAATAAGTGATACATGTATCTTATGTTCCATAATAAACATATTTTATTTTATAAAATAGGAATGAGAAATATAATATCTAATAAATGATACCAATTTGCTGGTAATATGTGTTATAATCTGTAGGTATACAAAACTTGACTGTGATACGTAAATACTTTGAGTTCGCCTTCACGTTGAGTCTGGACAGTCAATTAAACTGGTGCAAATAGTGTGTAAAGAGTTGCGGATAGTTTCTTGCCAGTTCTTCTTGCCCACTCTACGCCAAGGGCGTTACTTGCGAACTAATAGTAAAGAAATATTGTATTAATAAAAATTTAAGAAATAGAAAATGTCCCTGGACCCAATGTCATAATAGAGTACTATTATAATAATAAAAACTGGTAGTAAATGTACATTTAGAATTAATTTATGTATTTTTTTTTTTTTTAAAGACAATTCACACCAATTGACCTAGTCCCATGTTAAGCTGGTGAAGCTTGTGTTATGGGTACTAGGCAACGGATATACATACATATTATAGATAGATAGACATATAAATACATGTTTAAACACCCAAGACCTAAGCACAACACCAAATGCTCATTACATCGATGTTCGTCTCAGCCGGGGATCGAACCCGGGACCCATGGATTCGCAGTCAGGGGTACTAACCACTAGACCAATGAGTCGTCATGTATTTATACCTATATGAATAAAGTTATGTTATATTCTTATTCGGGCACAGAAACATACATATTTTTAAGTCGTATGTAGAAGTCGAAGTAAGAAGTAGACATGGGGAGAAATTGGCTGTGCCAAAAATCAATCTGGAACTGTTTAGGAAAAACACCCTTTGTATGGCAATTAAGGTTTACAATAAACTAGCAGACTCGGCCAAGCGTTGCTGTGGCTAAGATTTTTGTTATATTACATAGTAGTAAACTATTCAAGGGAGAACACCAGTCATGGGGACCAATATGCTTTTTTTGTGGTCATGCCATTAAATTGTTGCTTATGTGAAACGTTGGTACTTTTAACACAGCGCCATCTGTTAGATTTGTGACTGTCAAATAATTTGCAATAAAATAATATAGCGGGTATAAATAGAGATCAAAGCTATCCTATCTTTTAAGTTAGCTCAAACTGCGCACGGTGTGCAAATTTGATTGAAATCGGTTAAGTAGTTTAGGAGTCCATAGCGGACAAACAACGTGACACGTAATTTATATATATTAAGATTACCAAAAGAATTAAAAGATCTTCCGACTAGTCTTTAAAAAAATTATTATTCAATAAATGATTATTTGCGTGAGACACTGTAGTTGATATATATTTAATAAACTATGATATGTACGATACAAATAATATAAGAATTGTCTTTGATTAACATAACTTTTATTCATTTAATAAAACACTATTTTGACCGGATTGAAGTTATGTATTATTATAAATTTAAAATTATGTTAAATAGTTGTAAATTTATAATAATACATAACTTCAATCCGGTCAAAATACTGTTTTATTAAATATAAGAATTGACCAAATTATATGACTAATAATGTAAAATTCCTTTAAAGACAAATTTGCGCGCCATTGTGTGTGGCAGAATATGCGAACTTACGATTGTACCACTTAACAGATTTTTGTACCATATTCTTAATAATTATTTTTGAGTTAAAAACATCAGGTCGTATTCTTTACAATTGTTTTAAAAAATATCAAAAACTATGACAAATCAAAATGTGTCGATTTATATGTTATGTTATAAGTATATGAGATATCTCATAAAGAGAAACGCGGCCATTAGATTGTTTTATTACATAAATAGCGGCTGCAGCTATTTCAAAGCCAATTGCATAACGCGTAATATAACATTGGTAGTGTAGTAATATTTATATTATAACTAGCTGATCCGGCAAACGTCATTTTGCCATGTATATCATTTATAATAAAAAATAGGGGTTGATCGTAGAGGGGTGAAAGTTAGGGGTTGTATGTATTTTATTATGCTGTATCATAAAAAAATAAAAAATAAGTAATTTATCTAAAAATTAAAAAAATGATAATTTAGGGGTGGACTACCCTTAACATTTAGGGGATGAAAAATAGATGTCCGATTCTCAGACATACACAATAAGCACACAAAATTTCATGAGAATCGGTCAAGCCGTTTCGGAGGAGTTTAACTACAAACACCGCGACACGAGATTTTTATATATTAGATAATACTAATAACAAAAAAACGTGTGTGTACACGTGTTAAAAGTTATACTTCTTTGTCGTAACAAGATAAAAATGTTTTCAAAAAAAATTTCTCTGTTTGTAGAAACAACGACACTAATAATAGAAAAAAGGTATTTAATACATTGAAAGTTTTATTATAACGCTAAAAACTAAAATATTGCTATAGCTAACAACAAGGTGTCGGTTTTTTGTGACGGTGTGCGCGCGCATCGTAAAAATTTACTCTCATCATTTTTCCCTAACACGCCAAAAGCAGTATAACTTCAAAAAAACTAAAATGTTAACTATAGCTAACTTCAGGGTGTCCAGATAACAATTATTCTGTACATGGTACATGTTTGAAACAGTTTTTTTTAAATTATAGTGTTACAACTATGTCTTAAAACATTAAGTATGAGTTAATATGTGAGTGTGTGTATGTGCTATGTGTGTGTGTTAGTTTTTGGAACCTCAAAGTCATGCCAACATATGTAGTAAAGTCCTTGTAAATTCGAAGTCCAATTTGGATATATATTATGACAAGCAGACCGGCCAAGCGTTGCTGTGGCTAAGGTTTTTGTTATTTTACATAGTAGTAAACTATTCAAGGGAAACGGTAGGAGAACACCAGTCATGGGGACCACCATGCTTTATTGGTGGTGATGCCATTAAATTGTAGCTTATGTAAAACGTTGGTACTTTCAACACAGCGCCATCTGTTAGAATTGTGACTTTCAAATAATAAACAAATATTTGCAATAAAATAATATTGCGGGTATAAATTGAGATGTAAGCTATCCTATCTTTTAAGTTGGATCAAACTACACACGGTCTGCAAATTTGATTGATATCGGTTCGGTAGTTTAGGAGTCTATAGCGGACAAACAACGTGACTTGTAATTTATATAATATATTAAGATGAATGAAACATTTGAAGTTTGTTTTTTAACAAAATAATATCTTAATACTGAATTGAAATCTCAGGCCAAAACAAGCGTCTTTTCCACAGAGTAACAAACAAATTTAATGAAACAGCAGATAAAATAGATAATTAATAATCTAATATAATTATTTCTTTACATATGTATAAAGTTAGTTACAGTATTAATAACTCAAGAACGGTTGATCCGATTGGGCTGAAGTTTGTCGGGAGTAAGCTTACAACCAGGAGACACACACACACACACACACACACCCACGAATCTACGACCTCAGGGATGAGAGTCGCACGCTGAAGCCACTAGGCCAACCTAGATAGTAATAATAATAATAGTTAAAAATTAAAATTAAAGTTAAAATTAAAAGTTAGTTTTGACTGACTTAAAAAAGGAAGAGGTTATCAATTGGTCGAGAAGTTTTTTATGTAAACATGGCTCCCCTCTACGTGGACTGATCATGTATCATGTGACAAGTGTCGAAAAATAGTCTAATGTCATCTTCATATCCCGTCGTTATATATATAATAAGTCTACTACTATACGCGTGTATGTCACTGAACTCCTCTTAAACGGCTAGACCGATTTGAATGAATTTCTTTGTATGCGTTTGGGTGGCGCCCTGTATAGTTTAGATTCACAAATCAGCTCGGCAGATGGCGCTGCAGTCGGTATCTAGGTTATTTTAAATAAACAGCTCGTATATATATAAATATTCTGTGCGTAGTTAAACTCCTAAACGACTGTACAGATTTTAATGAAATTTTTTGTGTGTTCAAGTGAGTCGAGAATGATTTACATTATTCGATTTTTTTTGTATGTAAGATGTGTGTAAAGGACAGCGTCTGTCGGCTAGTTTATTATATATCGTTGAATAAATTTAATACTCTTGAACATATGATACAATACTTTTAATTTTAAAGTAACAAGATCAACTTATATGGAAATAATGTTATATGGAAACCTTCCAGATGTCGGTGGGCCTACAGCGGCGTGTGCCCGCGCTGGACGAGGCCGGGGGCCCGGGGTGGAAGTCCAGCGAGCCGTTCCCCTCCTTCGCGCCCCCAGCGGGCTCCCCCGCGGGGCCGGCATTCGCCGCCTCCCCCGCGCCCTCCACGCCCGGCCCGGGGCCCGGCTTCGCGGGTCCCTACGCGGCGGCCGGGCCATTTGGGAGTCCGTCAGCCCGGCCGGGCTCCGGCGGGGGCTTCCCTCCCGGCCAGTTCCCTGGGCCGGGCTTCGCGCCCCCCGGCTCGCCCTTCCACCCCCACCCGCCACATGCGATGCCGCCGCATCCGCACATGATGGCGCCGCTACCGCCACCTGTTGACAGGTTAGTTGAAACTTTTTAAATTTGTACTATTTACCGTGGAGGAAGGATAGTGAACAGTTGCTACCACAAGAGTTCCTTGATCAGTCTGACTGATGGCCTGAAGACCTAAGTAGCTAAGATCGAGAAGTGAAATATATATACTTATTTGAAATTACTTCGATACCGCGTTTTAAAATATGACGTCATCGCAGTGATTGTAGGTGTCGCTAGTTACCAACTTTGTTTTTGACTTTAGTTAAATTTGACAACTAGTTAAATTTGTTTGCCAACTCATGTATGTGTGTACCTTTGTGGAATAGAAGCCTGGTTATCCATATCACAGGTTCTTACCTAGCTTGGAAACCAGTCTTCCAATACCTTCTTGTATTGTTTGTTACAAACATATGGGACAAAAAAATATTGTTATTATTTAATTAAAATAATTATATATATATATCATTATCATTATAATTATATAAGAAGAGTTAGTAGAAGAATGTTTCTTGCTTCTAGGCAGTGGCTACCGTCTTATTAATATAGCTTAAATAATGTTTTGCATCGTTTATGTATATTTAAAATGCCACGGGCGTGAAAAGAACAAACAATTATAGGTTGTAACCAATCACAATCAAACGCCCCGTTTACACGGGTATGACGTCACGTAGAGTCTCAACGCTGACCAATGAATGACAAGCGAACGCAGAAACAGTCCTACCCTCGTAGTATAGTAACATTATGTCGGTACCTATAAGATTTGTTTTTTTTTTAAATCAGTGGGTCTATTAATGTTATAATAGTAAAAATACCATTTGATTGACATTAGAACCGTACGAAGGTACTGTGTCAAAACTCAAGTCAAGTTGAGTTTGACTTTTGTATGTCAATTTGACATGCGCCTCACTTAACCCAACCGTCTCTTTTTACACCGCTTAACTACTTTTATATAAAGGAACAAGAAAAAATTCCAAAGGCCGGCAACGCACTCGCGAGCCCCCTGGCATTAAGTGTTAATGGCGAAATCACTTAAAGTAGAGCCTTTACCTAATGGTTTGCCCCGTTCTATATAAAAAATATTTTGCCATTTTATCCTTAGTAATTTTCAGTCCCGACTCCCGTAGTAAATAATAATAGTAAAAAAAGGCCTATAAGAAAAAAATCGTCCAGCGAAAATCGCAAAATTATCCTCCGAATAAAATACTCGCTCGTATACGATTCTATGTGGGGGTGCTATGAACCGCGTTTGTGTGTGTGCACAAATAAATATAGGTGAACGGTACGTAGGTATATTGGTACAGTCGGGTGGTAAAGGCTAATTGATTTTTTTAATTAGGTCGCATTTAAATTTAAGGTATGTACAGGATGGTAAAGTTTGGTAGCCTTGGACATACCTGGATTAAATCCCTCCTGGATAACTGGTACTAGAGAAGTGGATGTAGCGAGAGAGGTATGTCAGGACGGTAGCCAAAGATCCGTGGTCCCTGTTTACCCATTCGGAAAAAAGGCGTGATAATATAAAATAAAAACATTGATTCAAATAAATGTATGAAAAGTTTGATATAAATATTTTATATTACACGTGTAGCTTATCAGTTTCAATAACAGGCAAATACTATAAATCATAAGTTCAATTAATTCATTTAAAAAATAATTTATTAATGTTGGATAGTATGAAGGAACTATAATAGAATTTATAACGCGTTTTTGACTATTTTTTTTATTCATTTTTCATTTCAAAGTCCAAAACAGTATTGACTTAACAAGTGTAACGTATTTTTTATTATACAAGAAGGTTATTTTAGTATAATAAAGCATTATAAAACTAAAAATAATTATTAATTAATTATACATTTAGCGACGACTGTACTCGCCCACCCCGTGCCTATCTATCTATACGCTGTAGCCGACGGTACCGCTTCACCCAACTTGCAATGACCTCCCGCGTGCCCCGCGCGTACTATAACCGCCCACGCAAACCGCGCAGGGGTGACATTACGCGGTTCAACGTAGCCTGGCCGGTGCCTACATAAGTAAAGACTGGAGTGAGACGCCACTCGCTCGAGTGTCGTCTGCCTGCGATCAAAATCATTCCAAATTGGAATTTGACGTTTAGAAATTTTCTATTTTACACTGTATTCACTGTTCTTATTTCAAATATGTACGTTTGAACGCGTAACATAGAACTCAAGGACGATTAATACATTTTATTTGCTTATCGAAATTATTCCAAATTCAAATTTTGTATTTCTTATTTTAAATATATTAAAACGTGTAATATAGGCATACAATTTTAATTTCTTATCTATTTTTTGTTTATTCCAAATTCAATTTTTTTATTTCTTGTTTAATATTTTAAATATATTTAAACGTGTAATAAAGATAGGCATACAATTTTAATTTCTTATCTATTTTTTGTTTATTCCAAATTCAATTTTTTTATTTCTTGTTTAATATTTTAAATATATTTAAACGTGTAATATAGATAGGCATACAATTTTAATTTCTTATCTATTTTTTGTTTATTCCAAATTCAATTTTTTTATTTCTTGTTTAATATTTTAAATATATTTAAACGTGTAATATAGATAGGCATACAATTTTAATTTCTTATCTATTTTTTGTCTATTCCAAATTCAAATTATGTATTTGAATGTTTCGTTGATACTATGTTAATATTTTTTAAATCAAATTATAGTATTTATTAAATTTTGCATATAAAAGTTCTTTAACGCTATGCGAATTATGTCAAGATTTGACTTTATAAGGGTATGAAGCGTATCTTAGTTATCTACGTAAAATGGGTCATGGAGATGTATACAGCTGGTGTATACATTTTTGCCCTAGGCCCATTATCGTGCAGTTTGTAAGGATGTTATATTAATCTAAATAACAGTATATGCCACAATCCTGTATATTTTGTATGTTCAAAAGTTTGTTACATATTTCTTTTTGTATCGCCTACTAACACTTTCATTTAGTTTACCACTACAAAAATATTGTTTAAAATTAGAATCTTAAGAATTGTTTTATTTTAAACAACAAACAACGAAACAGACGTAGAAATGTGTCTGCATGAGTTTAAAATAAAAATTTCTTGCTGAGGTATTGCGTGACGTCACAGCGTGATTGAAACGGGGGTGTAGCACGTGGACCACCCTCTCACATTTCTGATCGCCTGGTACTTTGTTTATTTTCATTTGGTTTTTTTATATAATTTTTATGGTTTAATTTTATTAACATATATTATTTTATTACATATAATTAATGGTTGTTTAATTAGTCATATAACACAGTTTTAACTAAACAATGATGTCTTTTATCGCATCAAAACCAAAATTTTATAGAAAGATATGACCTTACTTTAAAAATGTAATATCAAGACAAATTCAATAATTTTGACATACATGAGTCTTACTTAGCGCTAATTCTCGACTCTGAGTATAGTCCCAAGACTTTATATACATAAGTAATTCTTTATTAATTAATTAAAAATATGTATACAGTATTTACATTTTTCTTAACCTACAAAGTAATAATATAAATAATTTAAAATAATTAAAATCAAAATCAAAACAAATTTATAAAGTTTGGTCTCTGTGGAAAAAACAAAAAAAAATATTTTTGTTTTTTTTTAAGTGTATTTTAAAGCACATAAAAAGTTGAAAAGGGCAATTACTTCATGTAGCATATTTGAAACTACTCATCTGATAAGTATGCGGTTTTAAATTTTTTTTCAAGTAAACAAATCTAAGAAAGTTTTTGTTTATCAAAGCTTTGGATATTTATGTTTTACAAGATTTTTATATTATACTAGCTGATCCGGCAAACGTCATTTTGCCATGTATATCATTTATAATAAAAAAATAGGGGTTGATCGTAGAGGGATGAAAATTAGGGGTTGTATGTATTTTTTATTGCTGTATCATACAAAAATTAAAAAAAAGTAATTTATCTAAAAATTAAAAATAATAATTTAGGGGTGAACTACCCTTAATATTTAGGGGGATGAAAAATAGATGTTGTCCGATTCTCAGACATACCCAATAAGCACACAAAATTTCATAAGAATCGGTCAAGCCGTTTCGGAGGAGTTTAACTACAAACACCGCGACACGAGAATTTTATATATATTAGATTATAATGAAAGTAGAAATATGGTTTTACTGGACGAATGATAGCTTACCAATATTTATGATTTATCCCGGTAATTAACTAATTCACGAGCAAAAGACATAATTTATGCGGACTTTTAAATGTCAACAATAATACAAGATGGCTGACAGAAGACAAGTGCACATTGATTTTTCATTTGCAAGTAGACGAGGATGGAGATATCGTCACGGCACGTGCTAGAGAGGGACGAATAAGTTATTATTAATAAGGGTGTGCGCCCCATGGTAAAAGGAATTTGAATTTCGAATAGTGTCAAGTAGAAACTTTTTAACTTGTTTGACAACTTTTTATTAACTTTATTGAAATCTTATGTTATCTACGTATGTATTTATATTAACTATTTATTACGTATGAATGGAAAAAAACAATTGTTAATTTTACCATAACAAATAAGTTAAGTGTATATATGTTTTGCGTGTAAAAGTGTATAGATACAACTAAAATCTGAAAAGTTTTAACTTTATTGTTAGAAATAATGAATATATTCGACAATACCTAAGCCAGGTTACAAGATTTTTATAAAAAAGTTTCAAATTTGGAATTCCGTAAGGTCATTGTAAGATGCACACAGGTAAACAATTACTCTACATTCTACAAGTACATTTCACGTGTTGTATGTGTGAGTGTAGATAGCACGACTGAGCTGTTGTGATATTTGTTTGAAATTTAATTAATATAAGAAATAATAATTATAAGAAGAATTAATGAAATTAAATAACAAAAATATTAGTCTTAACTTGTTCGTATATGTAATTATTTCTCTTAAAATAAAATATATATTTTCTACTAATAATTTTTGTTTGTAATATTTGGACCCGAGAAAACAATTTTGTAAATTTAATCTTATTTCAATGAATGAATAAAATTAAAGATGACAAACTAACAGCATCAAAGGCAACACCATATACAGGCCATTTTAGCCTCTCGACACCACGAAGATAATGATGACTCAAAAAGACCATTCAACTATAAGTGTGCTAATTGAATTCTAAAGGTTTAGTACAAATTCTATGAATATAATTATAACTTGGAACTAGATTTACGCTTAAAAATAAAGCTATAACTATATATTTACTAATAAATAGTATATTTAAAAAATCTATTATTCCGTTGAGTATTAAAGATAAAAGTTAAAAACAGTCTAATACGAACAAATCGAACATATTTTTATTTATTATGTATAATGCAATTTTTTTAGAGAAGTATTACATATGGAAGAGATGATATGTAAAACGGTTAACCCACGTTGAATCACAAATATTTGCCCTCTAGGGATATTAAAACTCGTGTCGCGTATAAAACAGCTGGAAATCTATCAATACATAGTCGTCCTTGGGTTTTGGGTTAAGAATAGATTCAATATCAATTACAATAGGTAAAAGTTTGTTTATTTGAAATAATATACAAATATAACAGCCTTCAAGAAAATAGCGTACCAATTCGGTAGCTTCCTTGGGCGGCGGTATTATCATCAGGTGTTTTGTGCCCGCCGTTCTGTAAAAGAAAGGCCGAACCAATTCGACTTAGAGTCCTTCAAAAAAAGAGCGTACCAATTATTAAAAGGCCGGCAACGCACTTGTGAGGCTTCTGGCAATGTGTTTATGAGTCACAACATCAGATGAGCTTCTTAGATACTATAAAAATTACAAATCAAATGGGTGTTAGTTATTGTTGTTTCCATTTGTGTTTTGCACAAGGGGTCCTCCCTTTTGCGTAAAAGCCTCCTCTTGAACTTTCCATTTGGATCTGTTCTTAGTTAGTAGATACCTACTTTAAAAAAAATTTGTGCGTGTACTAGGTGTACACACGTAAGAAGTGAAACTTATATAAAACCTTTGTTGTACGCAGAGCCATAATTGGTTTGTTTTAAGTTTAGAGGTCCGAAACTATTTCTTTAAACACAGTAAATTTTGATACACTGCCTAGCATACAATTTACAAATTAATTGCTGAAAATTGCGATTAGCAAATTTCAAGTCGAAAATGTAATCCGTTGTCAAACTTCAAAGTCAAAAACATACTATATGTCATATTTTAACGCCGATAAAGAAGTTTGACTTCAAAAAGCAACATGGCGCGTAACGGAAAAATGTGACGCGTAACGCAAAAATGTTACACTAAATTTTTTTTCCAACCCCGATAAAGAAGTTTCACTTCAATAATTTAAATAAAATTAACGAAACTTCCCCAATATACATTTTTGTGTATGATGACGATGTTCTATTCAACTTTAACGATAACCTTTAAACAAACCGAGTTGCCCTTTAAGACATGAAAAATAGTTAACTATAATATATTACTTAATATCGGAAAGTATTTCCATTAATGCGATCACGAAGTCACGAATTTATGAACAGGTACGGCGACTTTTAGTTAATTTCTGTATTGCATTGACTGTTTATGCCACACATATATATAAATATATGATAACAAATAAGGATCATACTGCTGGATTGAGGCCTGTCACTCGATTCAGACGTCCCCAATTGATAGAGATATGGAGATGATGTTTTAAACAAAAAGAAAATACTTTGTCTTTAAGGGAATGATTTGTATATATAGTTTTGTTATGATATATATTCAATCCGAAAACATATCAAATACGAGAAATATCAATAAATATACTAGTTAATAAAAGAAGTGTTCTAAAATGCTTCACAGATAAGATAGACATATATATATATATAGTTTGTATCAACATATGAAAATGTAAACATGTTATATACAGCTAAATATTTCTTAAAACACAATCTGTAAAAAAAATTTTTTTTACAATCATTATTTAGTTATTCATAATTTTTTTTAAAGAAAGTATTTTAAAACTTTTTTTTTACAAAATTAAAGTTTAAATATATTAC